CAGTTTCTTCATTTATAAAATAAAGTATTTGGACTAGATCATTGTTAAGGTACCTTCAATCTCTAAATCCTATGATCTGTTAAAACCCTTAATTTACAGATGAGAAAAAGCATGAGAGATGTAAGTGATTTGGTTCACACAACCAGCAAGCAACCGGAGCTGGGTCTCCAGACTCAACATCCTTTTCCATACATTTTACTACTGCAGGGTGCCTCATGGTGCTTATTGTGACCGTGGAGACAAGGCAGAAGATCTGACTTGTTTCTGCATAAGAATTGGCCCCCTGTGCGGCTGTCTCCAGATGATGCCAAGAAACCTGCAGGGAAAGTGAAAAAAATCTGCCAGTCATTCACAGCATGGCTCCAAGCCCTCCTCAGCTGATTCTTTCCCACTCAATTAAGAGAAATAACTGTTTGTTTGGGTGTTATAGAGATATGGCCTCTGTAGTCAGAAACTTGGATTCAGGACAAGCTTGCAAGGCAGATTTAAGCAAGCCACTTGTCCCTTGTGGGCCTTTGTCTAAATAGGGTGAGGTTGGGGCCTTTTACCAAAGAAGGAAATCTCTTTTCACTTTCTTGATACCTGGGCCCCTAGGCTGCTCACTTGGGGGAGAGACCTTTTTGAAAGGTTTCTCTAATAGACTGAAAGTATGGGGTAGCAGGGGAAGCTCGGTAGTGCAGTGGATAGAGCACAGGCCCTAGAGTATGAAGGACCTGAGTTCAAATCCAACCTCAGATACTTATTAGCTGTGTGACCCTGGGCAAGTCACTTACCCCTAATTGCCTCTAAAAAAAAAAAAAGTGTAAGGTAGTAGAGAGAGAGAAAGCTGGTCTTGGGAAAACTTGGGTTCATGTCATGCCTCTACTACCTATATGACCATGGATAAATCATGTAATTTTTCAGCTATCCCAGACTACTCTCTGAGAAAGTAAGTTGAAGATGGTGGTGGTGCTGGTGCTGGTGCTGGTCAGTTTTGCAAAATTGGAGGGAATCTCCACAGTGGGAATCCCATACCCCAAAGAAGTCATAGGTAAAGACTAAAAAAAGAAAGTGTAGGTTTAGTGTGACTGTCACATACTAGGCCCTAGGTTATTAAAACAAAAAACACCAATCCACTGAATCAGAACCATAAGGCCACTGGACTATATGTCCAAAGACTTGGGTTCAAGTCCTAGTACTGCCACTGACTTGCTGTGTAACAGGTAGGTAGGTTAATTTACCTTTCCCGGCCTCAGTTTCCTCATCTGTTAAATAGGGATGGTGACAGCTGTTCTGCCTACATCGGAAGGCTGGTGTGAGGATAAAATGTGTGAGGCTTTAGAAAAAATTGCTATAAAATTGGAAGGTTGGTAGGCATGGCAACTCAAAACCTTGTGCCTTCACATATTAAGCTTTAAGGAGACGTTAGGTCTCCCTATGCCCCAGGGGCAGCAAGTGAGATTCTCCAGGCCCAACCTCAGGTACAGTAGACATCCTCTTTGGCTTCTCAGTGACACACGAATTTCAAGCACATCCCAGTACCCCAAAGATTGTCTCTGGTGTACCTGTGGGGTGGTGGGTGTGTGTGTGTGTGTGTGTGTGTGTGTGTGTGATGTACCTTTCTGACAAGCTGTCATTTTGACTTTGAAGTTGGCTTTTTCCAAGTGATTTTCTGTTGTCATGGAAACAACATTAGCATTGCCCAATTCTCCTACCTAAGTGGAGAGGCCCCACAGTCCAAGTCCACAGACCTGAGCTCAGCTCAGGAGTCCAATTCTTACAGCAGGTGGGGAAGATAGTCCAGAAAGGAGTCAGGAATCAGGGGATAAGGGTGGGGAAATGGAAAAGGGTTTGAGTCACTGGAAGGCCAAGTCTGAGATAATCATCTCTCTAACTCTCTTTGCTTTCAAAAGGCCTTGGGCTTAGCTTCCTATTAGCCTGGCCTGGCCTCTATACAGAGAGAATTACTCCACAGCGTCAGAGTCTGGAAGCTTTTAGTCAGGGCTCATTTGAAGACAAAATCCATTAGGGCAGACAGGAGTCCACAGACGCAGGATTCTGAAGTACTGAGTATTCCTGCTCCTCAGGGAGAGGTAAATAGGCCAGGGAGTTTGAAGTCAGGTAAGACAGGACTATAAAGGACAAAGATCTGACAATGAAAAGCCCAGATGACATAAAAAACTCATTTCAGTGGGACTCTGCACCCAAAAGCTGATCCTTGAAATGCAGAAACAGCCCTTGCCTGCCTTAAGGATCCTCCATTCTACTATGTATCTCTTTATTATTCCATTCTCTTCCAAACTATCCTGTTCATTTGCATGCAGAATAGATGAATTAGGCTCCTTTCCTCTCTCCTAGCTTGACTCCAGGAATGGAGTATTTAAGAGCAGTGAGGAAAATGCTTGGGATAACTCAAAGACTGGATGAAATCAGAATGAACTGGTACCTTGCTCACCACTCATCCAGGAAAGTTCAAGCACTGCCCATACTATTCAGAGGTTCATGATTTGTTGGTGAAAACAAGCCTGGGATCCTGGATGACTCCAGGGCCTGGCCTGAGACACCTGTCAATCTTGTTAGTGTGTAGGAAACTGGGGAGCCCTAATTCTCCCTCAGGCCCCTGTGGCAGTCAGAGAGGTCTCTTAACCAAGGAGCTTTGGATGGTGCTAACTTTTTCTTGCCCCATAGGAACCAGCTCAAAGCTGTAATCAAGAAATGTCTGTGGATGCTGTTTGGAGAATCCTGCATTCCTCCTCTCCTGAAATCAGGAGGAAATGGTCTTCAGGGGTGGGGAAAGGTCTCCGCAGACTACAACATGCTTCTCATTTAGGGACCTGAAGAGATCATCTGGTTCAGATCCCTGCTTCAGTTTTAATACTATGACGTTAAACCTGAGACAACATCAAGATGGTTAAGTGACTTACTTGCCCAGGGTCACAAAGGGCTCCAGCACTAGCTCAAATCTTTTATCTGTTAGTTTAGAGCCTAGAGCCCTGCCCACTACACTAGTGCCTCTTCAGGAAGCTATGATCAAAGACTGATTGCGAGTCATCTCCAGTCGTCCTGATCTGTATCTGGCCACTGGACTGAGGTGGCTCCAAAGGAGAAGGTGAGGCTGGTGACTTTGCACAGCCCTCCCTCACTTAAATCCAACTCATTTGCAAGTCATGGCATCTCCTTCCTGATATCATGGTCCTCTTCATGAACGAAGGACGAACAACCACCATGAGAACATAGAGCAAGAAGATACATGTAATGTTAGTGCTGAAATGGACCACAGAAATCATTGGACCCAATCCCCCCATTTTACATGGGGAAACCAGGGAGGAAACCCAGACTTGGCTAAGGTCACTTCAGTTCTGGGGCCTCCAAGCTGCATATAACCTTGGGAGTTTCTTCCTCTACGATCTAGTTGGCCAGATACATAAGAGGGCTTCTCTGGGCAGAAGCAGGTCAGGTCTCGACAGGAATGGTCAGGGAGAGGGCTGTGGTTTTGAATGCTGAAGACAATGGTGATGCACAGTGCTCTCAGGAAACTCTCCATAGGCAAAGGAGTCTTGCATTGCCTTCCCCAGAAATGGAATACTGCCAGCTCCTCCTACAGAGAACACCTTTAGCTTACTGTGGGGCCAAGAGTCAGTCAGGGAGCCTTCAAACCCTAGAGCTCAGGCCACCTGTCACCCTGCAAAGCCGAGTACACAGAGACCACAACAGGAAAACAGCCAGAGGCTGCCTGGGATACCAGAATACGTTTCTAAAGCAGAGGCCCAGGACCAGCTGTGTCCAAGAATGGCTAATTAGGGGCCCTTCTTTCTCCTGCCTTTAGGCAAGAGTTAATGAAGCCACCTGAAGGGAAAAGGCCCCAGACTCACAGAAGAGATGGAAAGTACTTTTAACAAACTGACAGTCGGAAACAGTAAGAGAGCGTGAAAATAATCGTTCATCTTTCTGTGATGCCGTAGAGAGCTTTCTTCATAACATCCTGAGGTAGTAGTTGAAGTATTGTTATCCTCATTTTAGAGATGAGGAAACTGAGGCTGCGGTTAGGTGACACGTCCTGGGTAAGATAGCCATGTGGCAGCCCTTTCCACTGTACCACACAGCCTCTTTTAGATCTCTTTCTCGGCTTTGGGGCATTTCCAAATCAGATTAAGCTGCCTTTTATGTCTGTTATCTGTTACTGATAGAATGTTTTAGAGGACATGGCCAAGGACAGAGGCTACACTGAATATAAAAACTTTGGGAACCATTTCCCTGATCTCAGCTGATTAATCCTGGGGCAGAAAGTGCTTTGATAGAAAAGGCACTAAGTAAATGTGAGTTGGTATTATCATTAGGTATAGTCTTCCAATTCAGCTCAAAGGCAACAAGTAAGGCTAAACACAGAAGTCCAACAAAATCCTCTGGCATTAATCTCCGTATCAGAGCTTTGAAAAGGAGCACCACTGCACAGCAAACTGGGCCGCTGTTGTTTTTAGGTTGTCACTGGTTCTTTGTGTGATCTCCGACACCACTTTCTGTGTAACACCTCTAGGCCTCTGCTCACCAGCCCATACGTACAATGGGAACAAGGGCGAGATTCCACAGATCTGCGAGAGTAAACTATGTAGCACCTTCGTGGATCAAGGAAAGCTGTCAACGTGAACTGCCCAATATCAGATACAGATCCTACGGTACACAGCACTGGTCCTTAAAGTAACAAGATGTTAACACAGGCTGTCCGGGAGGCAACAACTCCCTGGGACAATGGAAAACCACGGGGGAAGGGGTCATAGGATCCTGGTCCATAGGATCACACATTCTGTCTAAACCTCCTCATCCTGTACATGAGGAACTGAGGTCCAGAGATACTGTGACTTGTCCAGGGTCACAAAGATAATAATTAGCAGAGCTAAGTTTCAAAACCAGGCCTTTTGATTAAAATTTCAGCCCTCTTTCCTCGGTATACACTTGTCAAACTCAAGATTCTATAGTTCTTTGAATTATAGAATTTTTAGAACAAAAAAGGATATTAGAAGTCACCAAATTAACCACTTTATGTAAAGGGCTTCTACAAATGTCCAGAGTATCAGTCTCACATCAAGAGACTACAGGGGATGTGACAAGCTCCAGTGGTTCTACTGCACAAGACACGCACTAGCTTCTGATCCCTGGCAGACCTCTGGCATGTGTGGGTGGCTAAAGGGACACACTGGGACAGTAACTGGATCACTGGATGGGTTTGTTTATTGTTCCTCTGAATGACTGTGTCTCAGAAAAATACAGGTATCGAGTTCAAAGCATCAGCGGGCACTCAGGGAGTGCTGTGATTTGGAGCTGGCACCACCAAAGGCAGGCCAGGAGCTCGGCGGGGCGGCCAGCAGGGGGGACGCAGAAAGTCTTCATATACTCTGCTTCCCACTTCCCTGGGAAACATGCAGCAGTGGGTTTGGACTGGATATGATGGGGAGGAGGAGGAGGAAGAAGAGGAAGGGGCCTCTTAATCAAACAGTCTGGTCTCTGGGCAGTTCCTGCCCACTAGGCTTTCCTTTGCATCACAGCTGGCTGCGAAAGTGCCTGGTCTTGAAGCTGCTGAATGAGTTCTTCCACATATACTTTGAACAGAGGGACAGGGTCCTGAAAAGGGGAGAAACAGTGGGTGAGGGTCCTGCAGAGCAGCTGGCACAAGAGGAATAGAACAAGAGTAGTGGAAGCTAGTCCAAGGAGTCAGAAACACACATGTGGACGATGTCTCCCCCGCCAGCCTCAGCGGCCACAATCCCTCCTGCTGAGAACATGCCTATCATGCCCCATCAAAACTCATCAGCTGCTACGTTTCCCAAAAGACATCCCCAAATGGTGATACTTCCCTTTGGTACCAGTTTACCCCATGAAAACTCAAACTATGTTGGGAGAGACTGAGCAGCACTGGGCTCCTCCAGATTAACCTCTGGAGTCTGGAATCTTGTGAATGCTCTGGTTTGAGATGGCTGTGGTGAACAATGACTATGTTCCTGTGTTGGACAGCAATCTACCCACCTGGAGTAGCTCAGTAAATTAAACAAGAGCCAGAAAACCCAGTCACTATCCTGCTACCAGCTTTCTATTTGCAACTGAATTCAAAATCTCTCTGGATCTGTAAGGCAGAGATGGAAATCCAGGCTCCACCTACAAACATCCCACCCACCATCCTTCAATCCTTGATCCCTTAACTATAAATGATCTCTCCATCATCTCATCTCCTAAGTACCTGGTCCTTCTCTTCTGCATTTACCAAGTTCCAGTTGGTGTTACATTTACTGTTAACACTTCACAGACATTTGTTAAGCATTGGCTATGTGCCAGGTGGTATGGTAGGCATGGAGAAACAATAGTAAAACAGTTCCTGACCTCAAGAAGTTTCCATTCCATAAGGAGAGGCCCCATGAACACAGCCAAGTAACTAGAAAACACACGCCAAGTTAATTTGAGGAAGGAGGGACCAGGGCTGGCCTCCTGCAAGAGGAGCTGAGGAAGGAGTACATTTCAGGCCTGGGGTGGGGAGGAGGGCAGCGTGTGCAAAGGCACACATGCAGAGATGAAATGCTGTGAATGAAGATGGTAAGAAGCCTGATTTGGTCAAAACAGTCTGTGAATTAAGGGAAGTAACATTCAATAAACCTAAAAAGGGAGGTCGGGGACACTGTGAAGGCCTATAAATGGCAAACAGATATAGCTATGCTTTATCCCAGAACAAACAGGGAGCCGCTGGAGCTTTCCGAGTGGGAAAACAACAGACAGACATGTTTTGGGAATATCATCTGGCAGCTCTATGGAGGACAGCCTGGAAGGGGGAAGAGGCCTGAGGCAGGGAGGCCAATTAGAAGGCTCCTGCAAAAGTTCAATGGAAGGGTACTAAGGACCTGGACCAGGGTGGTGGCTGCACAAGTAGAGAAAAGGGGATGGCCTCAAGATGTTGTGGAGGCATAACGAACAAGACTTGGTAACTGACTGAGTATGGGAAACTGATGGGGAGGGAAGAACGAATGCCGACTTCTATGACCCACAACTGGGGGACTGGGAGGCTAATGGTGACCGAAGTTAGGAAGATGAGAGAGCTGGGGGGAGGAGAGAAGATGAGCTGTTTTGGACCTGTTGAATTCAAAATGCCTACTGGGCATGCAGCTGGAAACAAGAGGCAATTGGTGGTGCAGGCCTGAAGCTCAGCCTGCGTACAGGTTTTATTCCAACTGGACTGTAAGCCTTTTGCGGGCAGGGATCTTGACTTATTTATCCCTTTATCTCCCTTACTAATATTCTCAAGACCTCACAAATAGGAGGTGTTTAACAGTCATTGAAAAAATGAACTAGGTGGAGCACGAAAAGAAAACCACATAGAGTCGGGACCAGTTTGGTAGATGAGACAGCTTCTCCTTTTCTTCTTCCACGTATTTGAACAAGCCCTCCTCTCAAGCCTCTACAGACAGCTTGGAGCAGTGCAGAGAGGACAGGACTGAGAGGGAGGAGGTCTGGATTCTAACTCTCACTGCATGACTAGACAAGTCTCAAGGAACAGCTCACTCAGCCTCAATTTCCTCACTTATAAAATTACACTCCCTACCTCAAAAAGTTGTAAAGAAAGCAACTGCAGTGTGTTACATGAGTTGATATTATTTCTCATCCTTCTTCAGAACCTAGCTTGGGTGCTGGCTCACTCAACAAATTCATTATTAAAGGCCTACTATGTGCAAGCCACTATGCTAAGACTATTCCATGAAGCCTTCCAACTGGAAGTGATCCATTCCTCTGTGAATCTCCTATGCCACTCAGACCTCTCCAATATACCATTCGTAACATCTACCAGTCATTTGTGCTATCCAATGCCTCTTACTCAACTATCAATTCCTTGAGGAGAGGGACCCTGTCTTTCATGTTAGTCTTTCCCCAGCACCTCGCACATGGCAGTATACATAGGAAACCTTTAAGTGCTTTGATATCTAAATTATACATGGTTTAGGGTCTTAGGATGGGATCCTTGTTCTGTACTCAGTATTTCAGTAACACTATCTAGACCGTACATTTTGTATAGTTTGACCTTTTTGCCTACTGTAAGTAAACACGCTAAACTGATGTCTAAGTGAGGAGGGCAGCCCCAACACAGAGAGGAAGGGAGCTGCTGAGCAGCAAAGCCAATCGCCAAGAGCTGACAAAAGCTTTCTCTGTTGAGAAAGCAGAAAGGCTCCTGAATAGGAATCGGGACTAGGTCTGCTTCTGTTCCTTGGCCAGAACTGGCAGAGTTTTTCCACAGCTTCTCTCCCATCTCTACTGTCACTCCCATCCATAAGCTTGAGATGAGGATGCCTGATGCCCCTGCCCCCTCACAAGTCACCTCTCTCATGTCCAATGTAAACAGCTTGAAACATCAGCCTGGACATCAGACCAACAGTGGAGGCTGCTCTTGGCCCTTCAGAGACCTTGTTCGTGATACTCACTTTTTCTTCCAGGAGTCTTTGTTTTTCCACTGCTTCGTCTAACGTCAGCCCGACCCATTCAGCCTCTTCTTCTGGGATCACAAACTCCTATAGCATAAGGGAAAAAAAAGGGAAATAAGGATAAAGACCCTAGGGTCCTGTAAGGTACAGTGGTAATAATAACAATGACAGTTAACATTTAAACAGCACTTTAAGGTTTGCAAAGAGTTTTACAAACATAGCTGAAAGAACACTGGGTTAGGAGTCATAAGATCCGAGTTTGAATCTCAGCTCTGTCACTATCGAGATGGGTTACCTAAAGTAAGACATTTCCTTTCTCTAAACCTCAGTTTTCTAATTTGTAAAATGGAGATAAAAATAGTCACACTACCTACCTCATAGCCTATCCTCAGAGGCAAGCATTTTATATACTATAAATCGCCTGGCACAAAGCGGTGCTTAATAAATTACATTTGTTGACCTGAATCTAATTTTGATTATTCTAAATTATAGATGAATATAATTATTAGGTTTACTGGAGCACCAGTTGTGCCAGAGGTTGTCAGAATAAGAGGGAACACCCATTTGAAGAAGAGTGAAGGAGGCCCCAAGCATGTGGGGCTGGATGATCCATGGATGAATTAACTCAAATGGATGTGCAGAATTTAGCCAGAAAAATCAGTTTGGCTGCTCACCTTGTACTTGTCATAAATAGCTTCTCTCTTTTCTGGATCATCTGGGTGGAGCTGAGGGTCCCTCCGGGCAAGACGCAATAGCATTCCTCGTTTCAAGTCCATTCCAAACTTGGAGCACAGATCCTCCTTTGGAGTCTGTAGGTAAAGTCATACACATAAATCAAGCACTAATCATGTAATTGAATTTGATTTTTCAATAATCTTCAGGAATGCAAATGAAATATCACTATCATACAGGCTTTAACAGGTACCTATTTCTGGAAGAAACAGAGACACATTACAAAGAGTTTACCTGAGTAAATCAGAATTATTTTACATATTTAAATATGTAAAATCTTGTGCTTTTTGAATACAGATTCACATCAGTAATGGAAAATATCTATTTTTTTAAAAAATTTTATTTTTTCCAATTACATATAAACACAATTTTTAACATTTTTAAAAAAATTTTGAATTCCAAAATCTCTCCTTCCCTCCCTCCTCTAGCCCCTGGTTGAAAAGGCAAACAATTTGATACAGGTTACACATGTGTAATCATGCAAAACGTAGGAAAATATCTTTAAATAAACTAAACATTCTTTGCAGTGACTTTCCTAACTAATCAATGGACCACTCAGTGAGTTCTAGATCGTATTCAGAAAATAAAGGAATTTCAGAGTGACCTCGATGGTCATCTAGTTCAACCTGTACCTATCAGAAACTCCTTCTACTGTATTCTGGGATCTGAACACAATGTTATCCACACTGAGCCTGAAGCCCTCTAGTGAGGGAAAAGGCATCATTACCCAAGGCAGGTCCAGTCTAGTCTTCCCTTTTGGATTATGTGGATTATTTGGAAGTGCTCCCTTATATCAAGCTGCAATCTGACTCTCTGCAACAATGTCTCAGTCCTGCTCTCTAAGGCTAAGCAGAACAAGTTTAATCAATTCTTTTATTTACCAAGAGTCAGACATAGGGCAGACCTGAACACAATCGGTCCTGACTCCACAGCCAGCTCTCCACCCATCCTTCCAAGGGGGGGTCATAATGGAACCCATTTTCCACATGACTGCCCAGAGGATTAGAGGCTCTTAAGACACAGAGCTAAAATACTGGAAAAGAATTATCATGTGTCATTTTTTCCATACACTATCCCCCTCCCCCATCAAGTCTTCTCTTTTCCAAGCTAACTACAATTCTTTCAAATGGTCCTCATATTACACAGCTTCCAGTCCCTGTCATCTAAGATATGGTCTAAGATATTGTCAACATCCTTCCTAAAAAGCGAACTGAACGTTGTAATACAGGGTGGACAACGAGATTTCCATTCTCTGAAATTCTACATTGGACACTAAACCTTAAATCTCTAGTTTAATGTCAAGCAGCAGCTGTGGCTGCCAATCTAACTTCATAGTAAGCCCAGGCAGAATGAAGTCATTCTGTTCCTAGTTTTGATCCTGCCCTTGAAACAAAAACTTGGCTCTTCTTTTCTTTTTCCCTCTCCATAGACCTGGGGCCTCACCTTGAGGATATAGAAATCAAATCCATAGGCTTCATCAATTAGATCCAGAGTTCTCATGGTCACCATTGCTGTGAATTTCTTGTCCAAGATCTCACTGTAAAGCTCTCGTTCATACAGATGGGGCTTCCAAGTCTTTTTCACGCGCCTTGAGAGCTAAAAGCAGAACAAAGTTTCTAAGAGTGAGCAAGCTGTTTCCAAGTAATCACCAATGCTCTTCCTGAAAGACAAGCAACATCTCCCTCCCCCACCACACAGACTCGGTATTTCTTCCTTCCTTCCTTCTTTCTTCAGCTGAGGTACCCATCATCTGCATTCACTTGCCTCATCCAGCGCCAGGTTTGCTGTTTCCTCTCTTCTCCTGTCTCCTTAAGTGTAGTTCTGTCATCCCTCCCGTTCTTTTAGTTCAAGGGAAAAGCCTTAATAGGCCACCAAGTACAAAAGCTCTGTAGATTCATCAGAGGCCAGGATACTGTTTGAAAGAAGTTATGGATCATCTAGTCTGCCTATTTAGTACATAGAAGGAAGTGTAGAGGATCGGTTTGAAAAGGTGACCTTGCCAGTTATACTACACTAAAGGGGGACTGTTTTAACAGACTAAGTCAGCTGTCACCTTCCTACTCTACATCCCCCTAAAATGCAGACATGATCCACCTGCTCCATTCTTGCCACTTTCATCTCCATTCATATCTTGAACTCCGAGCTAGCTCAGCCTCCCAGTTAGTCCCACTTTGACGTCTCCTGGAGTTGATGTCCTTCTCCTAACACTAATGACCTTCAAAAAGTTCCATCTTACTAGAGAAACATTAAATCCGACATCATGGTTCACTAGCATTCACATTCCAAATAACTAAGCATGTGCGAAGACTGGGAGACTAAAGCTCATGTGATGTCTAAGGGCTAAGCTTATGCCAAAAGTGCCAAAAGGCACAAGGAAGGGCAGGGGCAGTTTGGAGGTGACCAGAGGGGACATTCCTCTACATCATGTTATTATTGGCTCAGCAACAGCTAGAAGTGAGAAGAGTTGCTTGGCAGAACAGGGAGGAGGAAGGGCAGGCTTATTCTTCTCTCCTCAGCCCTTCCTAATATCCAAGAACCTGCCACTACCAGAAGGAGAGAGAAAGGCCACTGGCCTTTCACTTTCCCACCATCGAGGCAATTGTGAAGCCATGAAAGGAGCACTTGCTGTAGAATCAGAAAACCTGAGTCCAAGTTCTCATTCCACCAATGACCAACATTAACAAATGAAGTCATTTTCCTTCTCAGAATGTGTTTCCTTGTCCACAAAATGGGGACAATCGTATTTGCAACACCTACCTCCAATCTAACCCGACAAACATTTTATTAAGTCCCTACTGTGTGCTAGGCATCATGTTAGGTGCTGGGGATACAAACACAAAAACGAAAAACCTCCCAGGGTCATAGTCCAGAAAATGATTTGTGGATGTCTATATGAATACGAACTGTTATTAATTAAATTATTTCATTAAAAGAGTGATGCTCTTTTTAAAAATTAAAAATTCTACTTAGAAGAATTAAGAATGTCATCAAAACATCCACCTTTTTTTTTTCAGTTACAGTGGCATTTAGTTAGCAGAAAAATTATTATCTATGCTTCACTGAAGAAAACTGAAGATAACTTTGAATTGCATCTCTATAAATGAATGGAGCTGTAGCAACAGTCACTTTATGGACTTGAGAAAGAGACCAGCCCATTCTATACTCTTCTGGGCCCACACTAGACCACCGTCACTAACCATACCTCTTACACACACACACATACGTACCTTGTCATTGTTGGCATATCTATAACCAATGATCCAGCCTTCGCCACCCCAGAGTCCCTTCTGGGATTCAGGGGGAAAGTAGAGCGGGATGGCAACATCCTGGACAAGCTCACGTTGTCCATTCTTCGGATTTATCTTATACTTGACCCCGTGAGGTTTATAATGGACTGCTGTGGGTGTCCCTTCGTTTTGCAGTGACTTGAGGTAGTGTTCAGGCAAGCGAGAGTAAATCCCTTGCCTCAGCTTCAAGGTTTTCCAGAGTTTAACAGGGTACTTGTGCAGCGGCATTAGGGGGAGAGTTACTGTGAAGGAAAAATGCCCTAAATTATTTCTAGTACCATCACTCATATCACTAGTTATAACATCATAGGACTTAGGACTAGAAAGAACTTCAGACATCATCTAGTCCAAGGGTTCTCAACCTAAGGTTTATAGATCTCCAAGAGGTCTGGGAACAAAGTGTGAGTGTGGTGGGGGTTCCTACGGACTTGGATGTGGAAAAAAAAAAAAGACAACTTTATTTTCATTAACATCTAACTGAAAATTTAGCATTTCCTTCAATTAGGAATTTCTTTTAAAAACCATTATTCTGAGAAGAGATACATAGCACCAAAAAGGTTAAGAACCTTTGATCCAGTACATCTCCTGCTTCATAGCTGAAGAAAGTGAGGTCCAGAGATGATAAAGTGACTTTCCTAGAGTCACACAAATAACAAGTGGTCAGGCTGGGATTTGAACCCAGGTCTAACTTAAAATCCAGTACTCTTTCCATGACATCAATCTGCTTCACTATACATTTTTACCAGGCAAAAAAATAAAACAAAACAAAAAACTAGGACTAGCAATAACTAGGTAAAGAAGGTAGTAGGGTACTAGTAGGGTACCCAAGTTTGGGTAATATCTCTCTCCTACTAAAAGACTTCTAATTACTCTCTACCACCTTAAGAATAAAGACTGAATTTTTTAGTTTGGCCCTTGAGGCCTTTCACAATCTGGCCCCTTCAGATCTCACTGTATAAATTTGGACAAATCACACCCCTTCTGTGGTCCCATTTCTCAACCTATTGCTTTTTCCCTTGCAAAGTGAGGGGGTTAAAGCAGGTGACCTCTAAGGTCCTTTCCAGTGCTGACATTCTATAGTTTTGTGTTTTAAGGTCCTTTCCAGCTCTGCCATTTTATAATCTTTCTAACTTTACTGCATGTAACTAGTTTCCTATAACAGTGCTCTAAACTGGGCTACGCTCTGCCCCTTGAAGAGGCTTTGAGCTCTATTTAATAGCTGACAATCTCCCTTATTTATCAATGAAGGGCAATCATGCAATCACAGATGAGTGGTCACATTCCATTCAGTTTTCCCACTAAAATATGGGAACTGTAACCATTGCCTCCGAGGCCTCTCATTGTGCTGTACAGGAAAGACAACAAACATTAATTAAAAAAAGAAAAAAGCATTAAATTATTGAGGGGGGGTGCTTTTACTTATTTATTTTTATTATGGGATGGAAGAAGCAAGATACCAGCTCGGGGAACAGAAGAGTATAATCCACTACCACCAAAGCCATGATACCAAAGTGTCAGAGCTAGGAGGGGATCTTAGAGATAATTTTATTTTACAGATCACGGGAAGTAGTGAACTAGAATCAGAAAGAACTTCTGAGTGCTCAGCTGGTAAAGCAAAGAAATGTCTAATTTGTGTCTGCAGGAAATCTGGGACTTCTGGTTTAATTCTGCCTTGAAGAGAATGCTAATTTTAGCCCAAAGAAGATTTAGAAGGGATGTTATAGCTGTTTTCACAGCTGTTAGATGAAAGAGGAATTTGACTTGTCCTATTTGTTCCCACAGGCAGGAGAGAGGGGAGGAGAGAGGGGGAGAGAGAGAGAGAGAGAGAGAGAGAGAG